TTGTAAGCCTTACCCCCCTGTTCGTAGGGCACGTAAAATTTGTTTACTATAACTTGCAGGAGTGCTGATAAACAAGTGGCACTTACTTTTTGATGTATGAACTATTTACGAACTATGAATGTAATACCAGACTAAAGCAGGACTGAAAAGCAGATGAAGTTTACCGAATATACACTATTTATAAACTGTGAGAGTAGTGTTCAGGCTAAAGCAGATTACTTTTACCGAATATACACTATTTATAAACCGTGAGAGTAGTGTTCAGGCTAAAGCAGATTACTTTTACCGAATATACACTATTTATAAACCGTGAGAGTAGTGTTCAGGCTAAAGCAGATTACTGTTACCGAATATACACTATTTATAAACTGTGAGAGTAGTGTTCAGGCTAAAGCAGATGACGTTTACCGGATATACATTATTTACAAACTGTGAGAGTAGTGTCGAGATGAAAGCAGGACCAAAAAGCAAATGACGTTTATTATTTACTGTAAATACTGATTAAAAACTCTACTACTTCGAGTAGAGCAGGGATAAAAAGCAAGTAACACTTACTATTTACTGAATGTACAATGTACAAACTATGACAGCAAATAACACTTACTATAAACCACTAACAGCAGGATTAAAAAGTAAGTAACACATATTATTTACTGGTTATAATATCTACAAGCTGTGGGAGTACAACCCAAACTAAAAGTAAGGCCGAGAAGCAACTGACACTTCTGTTTGCTAGATAAACTCTAGTGCTGATAACACGTGTGATGGCACTAGCAGCATTGCTCATATGTTTATGGAGGTGCACAGTGGAAAAACGTAAGAAAAATGTGCCTATAAGTCTGCTAATAGTATAATAGTTAACCTACCAAACTATTGCATCACTTTTCAAAAAACTTTGCACGCAAACATAAAACAATTGGGTGACGAGCCCATCACAATAAAGTCGTCAATATTGTGTACAGTTTCTCTATCTATGTACCTTCAATGTCACCAGATTAACTACTTCTTTTTTGAAACAACGTTAGGCTACCATTCATGGAAAGGAGTAATATAAACAAAAATGAACGAACTATTAACCATACTTTATATATTTTTATGGAAGTTAAAGTAAAGTGTGTAGAAGAAACTAATTAGATTTTATGTTATCTCGATATTCAGTAGAATTAGATTTTTACACAATATTATGCAATATGTGAAAATGACTCGCATTAGCTGAATCTAATATTTAGATTTTCTTATAAACGTAAGCAGCTGAGCAGTTTTTCGTGCTCGATAACTTGTGATCGAAATTTTACAGATATATATATTCTAAGAAAATGTATAAGTATGTTCACCGAAAGTCATAATTTTAGAAAATCTTGACAACAAAGTTCATTTTGTATAAGAATCAAAAAGACGAAAATAAATTGTATTAGAAGTGAACTCATCTCTTTCACTCTTCAATCTTAGAAGACAAGTTTAAGTACATAATTAGTCGTCCTACTGCGAGTGAATGTCCACACTTGTAAAAGTAGCACATTTCTCTTTTCACTCTATAAATGTGTACTGTCTGGAGTCTTCAACTTTGAACTACTTCACTAAAGTCACTGTCTGGAGTCTTCAACTTTGAACTACTTCACTAAAGCCACTGTCTGGAGTCTTCACCTTTGAACTACTTCACTAAAGTCACTGTCTGGAGTCTTCAACTTTGAACTACTTCACTAAAGTCTAAACGGTTAGTTCGAAGATCAATCATTACACTAAAACTGATTTACTTTCATGAAATACGTTTTATAAATATTTCAGTCCAAAATTAAAATCTACCATTTAACGTTTCTGCGAATAATATAAATAATTTATCAATGTTGAGAAATTAGTATACATTTAAAAAGCGGTTTAATGAGTTGAAGCAGCTGATACTGTTCTATTTTCTCCCTACAAAAGGATTGATTGATTGGTCTCGGTAATTACTGGATATTTGTGTTTTGAACTTTCCAGATATGAACAGTTTAGTTTGAAATAAGTAAATTAATTGCAAATAAATGACTATCTGTCCCTGATACTGCTATTAACAGTGTTTATGTTAGTTTGATTGATTTTAGTGAGATATTGCAGATAGAAAATATTTTATCAAACTTTAAATGTAATATAATTTTGTATAAGTAACCTTACACTTAGCAATACACCTGAAAAGTCTTACCTTTGGCTGTACACAGAGTATTACAGATTCTTGTTATCTCTACGCATGTAATTATAATAAAACTATGTCATATAATGAATAAATGTATGTTGTATGATACGTTGCTTGTTAATGATTTGATTAAGTCAACATCTTCCATTTGACCTTTATATATAGGTTTTATATAATTAAAAGTCTTACTGTCTTTACCTCTGGAAGAGATAAAACACAGGTTGTAGGTGTTTTAAATTGACATGAAATACGTACATAAGATGCATTCACTGGTTTAATATATTAGCTCGGGTTTTATAAAATCTGGTAATTAGTAAACGATAGACGGCGCTACGATATCAGCTGGGTAAGCAACTTAGTAAACGGATTTATTCAGAACCACAAAGACAATCCACTATATTTTAGCATTAAAATTTATTATATCCGACTAAAACTTCCACGTGAAACAGGAAATGAATTTAATGAGAAAACAAATGCATTTTTGTGCTAGGTTTTCGTTTCTCTCGCTTATTGCATTTAAGTTTATCAAGCGAACTCAAACTAATCCGTAAAAGATTGAAATTGTGTGTGTATCTATATAATATTATATACAGCTACTTGCTGGTAATTCAAATATTGCATTTTTAATTTTATTTTCCTGGTAGTTTTAAGAGTATTGTTTAATTCGATACTTCTGATATCACAATTTGAAATATGGAGATTTGTAGACTGTCAACATGTGCTAAGCCTTTCAACATACTAAACTGAAAGTTATATAGTATCGAACACAATTTGTTATGGAATATTATATTTTTTTCCCAGAACAATGTAGTAAAGACAACTGGATCTTTCATACGTGTTTAACCTTTTTGCGAATATTATTTAATCCAATTCCAAGTGAACGGTCGGTCTCCCAAGTTTTATAAGATTATAATCTTTTTAGTTGTTAAAAAAACAGGCTTTTCAAAATACATCAATACAAAATGTACGTAAGCCTAATCACTTTTTTCAAACTTTGAGTAATTCGTATCTGTGGATACCGTGGTGGTCAAGAGTCAGTTTTTCATTCTTGTTTAATATTCTAAGAAGTATATACGTGTCTAAATACTCATCTCTTGAGTTTCAACCAATGTCATCTGGTAACTTTTTGACCGAAATAAGGTCAGATAATAGCTAGATAAAATAAGATTGCTGCAGGTTTAAAAAATGCTTTAGTTATAAGAACCTGATGCGCATACTCATATCCAACTTACACTTTTAGAAGTCAAATCTTTATTTATTTATACATCTGTCGCATTTTCACGTGGAAGCTTTGCATTTTTCCAAGCTATTACACAAGAAAACCGTTATCGAAATGTGACATTCCTAACTAAACCGTATTTTAGTCGTATTATTACAAAATTATAAATATACACACATTAAACTACATAGAATCCTTACACGTAGTTAGTAAAGGATTTCTAACTTATTGATTTGATTAACTTTTCACTATTTTTCATTGTAGCGCCCCCTGACAGACAACTGAGCAGTCACTACCTATTTTGAATATTAATACAGAAATGATTTGTTCAACTAATCTGGAAATAGCGAAATATACACGGATGAAATGATTATTTTTTCCTAAATACGGATTTTAATCAGTTATCCGTATTTTCTTACTTTATCAGACCATAGCTCCAATTATTTGCAATTTGTGTTACAAGTGGCTACCGAGTTGTTATTGACATTCGAATTGTTTGTACCAAAAGAAAGTCGACGCAGTGACAGTCAATCCCCTTTAAAAAAATAAGTTGTCAAACTGAATTATTTAACGATTATAAGTAATGCATTTGTTGTATTTCCCTTTCCCCTCTCTATAGCATAGTTATATAAGAGTTATTTATACACAGACGCAATGCAGTTTTGACTAACTTGTTTAAAATGTTAGAAGAAACCGTTAAAGTATTTTTCGGTCATGTGATAGAAAAATCAAAGTAAATCTAAATTATTTAATTATTATGATTAACGTAAAGTAAAATTTTGTTTTAGCACAAAGCTGCTTGATGGACTATCTGCACTGTTAGTAGCAGGGCTCGAATCCTAAATTATAGCTTTACAAGCATTCAATCTTATCGCTGGAGAACAAAAATTAAGATTTGGTTGGATTCGAGTCCATTAAAATAAAATAAAACATATTTTGCATTAACTATCAATATGTTGTACTATATCCTGATCATCCATAACAGATTTTGATTTTATTAGTTAACGTGCTATTGTAATTTACACCTCGCGTAATTTGAAATGAAATAAATTATCAAGTGTAATAATAGTAATATACAAATTATTTTTAAAAATATAGTATAATTTCGGTGAAAGAAGTGTGTAGCTGATTCCACTGTTTATACAGTCACGATATAAAAATTGAATCCGCGTAAATATAACATCAGTTAACAAATTTTACAAACACATTGGCCACGCCCAGCCCTTAAAGCATGCTTAGTAGTTCTGGCTTGTTGAAAGAAAACAGCAACTAAGCATTTAGATAGATACGTAATTTGTTAAGCATAAAGAATTATAGGTTTATAAAAAAAAAGAAAATACAGAATTAGTATTAAATTATGATAGAATTAATTCGGTGTGGCTATTTCTTATTACCAAGTTGTAACACAGCTTGTGGTAAAAGATTAGATCGGTCTCTTGTTAACTCACGAAAGCTTATCTAACAAACGTTGTTCGCAAAATCATAGTCGTATTACTGCATAGTTGTGGCTTACTCCAAGATATGATATCATAATCATATTGCTGTTTAAACACTGGTGAAACAAAAACAAAGAAAATGTGACAAATAAGAGAAAACATGCAGAAAACTGAAAACTTTGGGCAATTTTATTACAAAGTCAATTATAAAATGCAGGAAACAATGTTTCACGTTTACAAAATATTTGCAATAATCATTTATCAATAACAAATACTGTTTCCAACCTTCACAAGAAAAACTGTAACGTGAACTAAACACTACAGGTGATCATAAAATAATAGTAACTATATGTTAAAAACTACTTATCTAGGGAAACTAAATTACAGCAGAGGCACATTAAAAATCATAAGTTTCGTTCCGAAAAGTTTAGACGTGAAAATAGGTGTTTCAAAAAACTCTTACCAAAGGTATTCACTAATAGATGTTTCAAAAACTCTTACCAAAGGTATTCACTAATAGGTGTTTCAAAAACTCTTAGGCCCGGCATGGCCAGGTGGTTAAGGCACTCGACTCGCAATCTGAGGATCGCGGGTTCGAATTCCTGTCACACCAAACATGCTCACCCTTTCAGGCGTGGGGGCGTTATAATGTGACGGTAAATCCCACTATTCGTTGGTAAAAGAGTAGCCCAAGAGTTGGTGGTGGGTGGTGATAACTAGCTGCCTTCCCTCTAGTCTTACACTGCTAAATTAAGGACGGCTAGCGCAGATAGCCCTCGTGTAGCTTTGCGCGAAATTAAAAAAAAACAAAAACAAAACAAACCTTCACACTGACACGCATCTTATTCAAATCTTGACGACTTTTGAAAGAAAATATTTGTTTTTGTTTTTTTTTCGGATATTTCCGCAAAGCTACACAAGCGTTATTTGCACTAGCTGTCCTTAATTTTGAATTAATACAGTAGAGTGAGGACATGTAGTCAACAGCACCAATCACCATTTCTTGAGCTACTCTAATCAAATAGTGGGAATTGACCGTCACTCTTGTAACGTGCCCACGTCCTCAAAGTGTGAAGCGCAGTTTTATTTTGTGGCAATGGGACGCAAATCACTAGCCCATGCCCGGCCCAAAAAATAAATAATTAGAATATTTGCTAGTTTGTAATAAAGGCGATTCAGGTAAGTAGTAGATGGTTTTGAAACATCCTTCTCCATCTCCAAGTTTTCCTGAATAGCACCAATGACTCTTAGTGTGCTTCTGGTGAAATTCTATTCTCCTAGTCTAGTAATTGTTAAGATATAATCATTTAAAATATGTGGTTTTCCTTAAAAATCTACGTTTATTCTTCTCTCTCTCTCCTAAATTCATACACCTGTCATTTTCTTCTCTAATTTTCATACTAAAAACAATTACAGAAAAAAAACGTAAAAATTAACATTAATTTATAAACCCTAAAGATCATACCATAAAGTAACCAGGAAGATTGTGTTTTCTTTTCGGTAATACTGATAAATCGCAGTTTTACCTGCTGTGTACCATCAAAGGAATTGATAATTTTTATGTAATTAGTAATTTATCAGAAATCGATAGCTGATTTTGGCACATCATGTTCTGGACATTTACTTAAGTATATACTATGATGTTAATTGTACCATTTGGCAAAGAATTTTACGGTTTTTGTTTTACAGTTGTAAGTCTTTTTGTTTTACAGCTGCCAAGAACAGAGCCTTACATGTTAAAAATGAGATAATTATGAAATAACTCAAACATCGATCTATTCAGAAATATTCCCGTGAATACTCTGTTTTCCAAAATGTCATCATCCAAATTACATTTTTCAAAATAAGAACAACAGAATCGTATGTTTTAATTCGAAATAAGTTTTCTAACTAGAATACTAGTAAAAGTTAACACTGCTGCTTCAAAGTGTGCAGCGAGGGCTGGATTATATCAACTTGCAAACTATCCTTAACACACTGAAATACTTTTCTGTATATATATATATGTATATGTTGAAAACTAGGTAACATATGAACTATCGGAACCTTTATTTTTAGTTTATTTTGGTATGCTCTTAACTTCAACGATACTCAATTCTTGAAAATTTCCCATAATCTTTATTTTGATAGCATTAACCCGAAAATTCAATGCCAATACTAGTACTTTCACAGAAATGATTGATGTTGATAAGGCTATGAAATAAACATACTGAACCAATTTAAATTTCTCTTTCACTATTTTACAGATTCACATCACCTCCTACAGAATAAGTATGAAACTGAAAATATACAATATGTTAAAGTTTGATATCAGTACAAATAATTTACAATATTTCGAGAACTTTTTAATTTTAATCTACTATTTTTTTTTACCTGAATCAAGAGGTGATTTTCCATAGAAAGAGGTCGATAGGTATAATATTCAATCTTAACTATTGTACTCGTGCTTTGACTAATCCGTTCCCATATCACACAACACATGAGATCAACTCAGTACCTCCTGACTAGCAGGCAAATCTAACAACAAAACATACACATGATGATTTAAAATACTGCCAATGTATGTTGAAGGAAGCTATACATTAGAAAGTTTGCCTTAAAATAACATATCCTAACTTAAAAAGTGTTAATTAAGGAAGGCAACAGAATAGAGAAGATTACACATCAAATAAGAAATATCGAACTGTAGTTTCAATTGAAACTAATGTATCATTATTACACCTTCACGAGTTTCAAGAAAAACATTCAGCTTATACATGACAATCATATTAGGTCCAAAAAGTGTTTGGATACTGTATTGCTGCTATATTAATACCGAAAATGCTAATGATTTCTAAAATACATGCAATCATTAAGTATAAAAATCCATAAATTGAAAAATAAGTTTTACATTACATTGTCACTAAATCCCCATTAAGTATAAATTTAAAAATAATTTCTTGCAAACACTACTGCTTTTTTGCTATTGGGACAACTAAATATTGCAGTTACTTTTATGTATGAGCACAGTAACTTTGTATGACCATGGTAACTCACCAAAAACTTGTTGAAAATTTTCTAAAGTTCAATAAGTCATTTCTGGTAAGCTAAAACATGTACATTTTCTTTTATTTCTTTGGCTTCTATTATAAGCTTCTGATAAATGCAATTGTTGTTCAAATTTTAAATGCTAAAGTAATTTTGTCGAATTTCAGATATTTTTTTGAACTTATCAGACAAAGTCGATCCTCTTGAATATTTACACAATATTCCAATTTTCTAAGTTAGCAGTTTAACTCGTACAAATTCTACTCATTTTAACTTTGTTTAATCAATACAAATTATATTTTCTCCTGTGATTTACATTTTCAGTCTGACGACTTTCTTTTTTTTTGTCTGCACAAAATATACCCATTCTCCAATTAAATTTATCACGGGCTCTAATGTCCCTAAAACTCAGCCGAAGTCGTCAGAACGAGCGATTTGGTGTTTTCTTTTATGAAGAACCTCTGTTTTACTACATTCTTTAATTAAGTACTTCATAAAAAGTCAAAAATAACATTTCCAAACTAAACAATTGATCCCTATATAAGAACACAAAATAAAAGGACTAGATATAAGTAGATTGTATGTAGGGTAGGCTTAATGCAGTTTCTTTTAATACTGAAAAACAAATACATAGTATTCCTGAAAAAAATAGAAATGTTTCACTTTTTCAGTAGCTTTCACTTTTAAGAAAATAGGTCTATATACATAGAAATTTCAGGCTTCAAATATGTATATTTATTGTGCATATATTTATTAGAAAAAACAAACTGAAATTATTAGTTTTTAAAATAATTAATTTAGAATTGCTATTAGTGAGAAATAAAGCTTTAATTTTAATGGTCCTACAGAAAATGGATCTCACTCATCATCTGCGAGATTCTTACCAAGAACCTGTTAGAATTTTGTTTATCAATAAAAGGCAACTTCAAGAAAGGTGTTAGTCATACACTATATACATTAGTTACAGTACTTTGGCTTAATTTGAAAAAAAAAACGTTCCTCCTAAATACAGTTATCTAAATTATTCTAATTGTAACAGTCGCTGCCAATCAAGTTCCTATAGGTCTGTTTCAGGTTTTCTGAATCACGTGTCTTTACAGTAAACCAATTTCCAATCATGCACGTTACGAAAGTCTCACAACTCCTTTGTTGTCTAATATCACACATTGTTACTTGAGAAAACGATGCGCTTGTCAGACGAATAATGAACAATATATCTTTGGCAAAACTGAATGAGTTACGAACGGATGATTGCTCGTATGAAACGCGTCACAACTTTTACATGATGAACAGCACCAGCCGAGTGTGTTTCAAAAACTACTTTGATATTTAAAGTTTTAACTTTTGGTCACACTGTTTTCTATGAAACGCCTGGTTTGCAGAAAAATCGTATAATCTAACAGAACTTGAGCAACGAATCTTTGAGCCGTCAACAAAACTTTTATAAGGAGCTAACGATGTCTCTCAAGGTTTTTCTCACTGTCCGAAGATGTACTGTCAATTTAGAAGTAGTCAAAGGTCACATGCCCAGATGAAACTCGTCACCGGTGGAATAATACCGACGTCGACGTCTAACTGCATGTGATCCTTGGTTGCTTAGTAACCAAGAGACGATACGGTTTAACCAATAGCGAATCATTCCACCTCTCTCAGACACTTCCTGGTGATACAAAAAAGAAATACAAATTATATTTTCATAAAAATATTACACTGTACGTTTTCCTAAGACAGAAAAAAATACTGTCGATGATCATAGCGACTAGTGTGAAGATAAACCATCTAAATTACAGAGGGATGTTCACGTTTTACTGGTATAATGCAAGAATAAATGTCTAGGCTTTACCTTTTTTTTTCCACCACCAATGTTGTTCTATGTGATGGCCCTGATCATAAGTTATTGCTCTGTAGCGCAATTTCTACTGCAGAAGGCTTTAGCGCAATGCATTGAAGGCAGATACAACAAGGGAACTTCATACGCTAGCTGCAATGGCTGCTTTGTTCTCGGGCTACTTCAATGATAAGCTGTTTAACTTTATTAGCGACCTCTAGTGTGTCACTGATAGCCGGTCGTGGAGTTGTCCTTTATTTCTGCTGTAATCAAATCCTTTCCTCGTTTTAGTGATATGATTCAACACTACAGATATACCCTTCTTCGAATTGCTAAACTATCATGCCTTGTATGCTTCTTTAAATAATGAAATAGGTGTATTTTGGTGTCGAAAAGTCCTGTAATGTAACTCTTCTAGAATAGGTCAATTTTAGGCACTATCATCTGCATTTGCAAATCATCACACTTCCAGTGAATTTCAACAAGTCTAGACTTTGAATCTATATGGTCACGAAGATGAACAGAGGCAGGTGATTAGACATGCAAATTGCTACCATGTATCGTGAACAACACTCTGTAGTACCTGCTCTACTTGGACCTAGTTTTCAAGTCATCTTCATAAATATGATAGTACGTAATATAAAATATGAAAATAATAAGGAAACAAATATAAGTATACATTTATATCCTATTTTAAGCACATTAAGTATATGCTAATGAAAACTAAATGTACTTACAGTATATATATATATATAATTCCCATTATCCTGTTTTATATCTAGTGTTACTTAAATAACTAAGTAAAAACATAATATAAGGAACTACTAAGCCTTAATTTCTCTCAACTAATATAAACAAGGGATGAATACCAAATATAAAATAGCAATTACACTACACTTACTGAATCTTTTCTGTGCATCAAATTGAATCAGAAATATTTTACTGCATAATATTTTTCATCAAATAAAGCTCTAAAGGTATCGAATGAGTAAAAATTCTAATTTTATAAAGAATATTACAGAAATAAAAGCGAGTTTGGTTTATCATACGTGGTACTATCAAATTTTGCGTTTCCTTCGTCCAGGATTTGAACCAGGGACAGTTTACGCTACTAGATAGTGCTCTATGCTTTACCAACCAAGATGAAGAGTTAACCCCCTAATAATTGCCAGTAAGGCACATTTTAACAGCTACCAATTTTTCCTTCTCACAAACAAGGCTTTCCTTTTGGATCTTATCTTAGAGTCGTGAGTCGACTAGCAGTGGGCGCTAGTGTTTCTTTGGTAATTATTTTGTTTTATCGGCTCAGTACCGAAATTGAGACACGATTTACCTTTAAAAATATTTTTTTCAAATAAAATAAATACAGTGTTAATTTGAAGTATTCTTGTGTAACGATAGTTACAAGCTTGATACGGAAAAATAATGATTTCAAATTACGGTAGAGGGTACTATGAACTAAATTTACCTGCAATTTTTAACAACAGAATTACACATAGGTCACCTAAGCCAAATAATACAATATATCTTGAATTTCTGAGTCGTGGGCTATACGTTGATTTTTGACTGGTCTACGGGCGTTCTTTTCAGAGGAATGTCTTCTAAAAATTGCGCTTAATACCACTGCCTAGATGAGCGTTGAATCGATTGTTACTCCCTGTGTTTAGGGTTATTAACTTTGCCTAATAGATGAAAATTCCTGCTTGTATAGATGGGCAAATTAGAATAATGTACAGAAACTTACACACACACACGTTGTCGAATATGAAACTTAAATTCTGACGCTCGTTAGACCATTATAACATGTTATCTACATAACTCAAAACAAGTATACAGAAGCCATACACCGGAAATGGTGGTTTGATAGAATTCATGCACCGGAAATGACGAAACAATCGACCCATTCTTTTGTAACCACAAGTTTAAGTCTTTAACCTTTCATTTTGCAGGTGCAGAAAGAGGAAGTTGTATATATAAAAACCACAGGAATACGTTAGATATACAAAACATTATATATTTATGACCATGTCTGTCTACATAGAATTGTTGTAAGAAGAAAAAATAGTGACAGAAAACCAGTTGAGTTCTACAAAAACCCAAACACCAAGTCTAATCGTAATTCTGAATACAGATTCAGTAATTTAATACTCTTTACTCTCAAGTAGCATCTATTTTATGATTATCTAACTTATAATAAAAAGTAGTGTTAATGTACCGTGAAAAACATCCAATGAATCATAATCAGTATCAGTATACTTTAAACTATGAAGGTTAACTTAAAACACCTAATAGCAATAAAGGGTGTAAAAGTTAGGAACTCCAGAACTGGTAACTGATATCAAATTAGCAACTTTATGAGGGTCAATGGGACTGCATAATGATATTTTTATTATTAAAAATATCACCCCCCCCCCCAAAAAAAATCAAATAAAAACTGGGCAAAGCCTAAGCTAATTAATTTTTTTATAAGAACATTTAAACGAACGAATTAGGTGCAAAAGATAAAGTATTATATATCATAATCTCAAACTAAAAAGCCATTTTCTGGAATCATTCTTCCGTTGTGACTCTTGATTTGGTATGCCCAATAGAAAATTTGCTGGAGACTTGCTTATTTGTTTGTTTTTGAATTTTGCGCAAAGGTACTTGAGGGCTATCTGCGCTAGCTGTCCCTAATTTTGAAGTGATAGACTAGACACTAGACAAAAGGAGCTAGTCAACGTCGCCCACCGCCAACTCTTGGGCTATTCTTTTATCAACGAAAAGTGGGATTGGCTGTTAAATTATAACGCCCCCCCCCCCCGGCTGGAAGGGCGAGTATGTTCATGGACGGGATTCGAACTCACAACACGCAGATTGCGAATTGAGTGCCCTAACCACCAGGCCATGCCAGGTCTTTGCTAGACACACCAATATTCAAAGGGTTAAATCTTTGAGAAAAAGGAAACGACGAATTTTTAAACAAGAACTTTAGGAAACATTTCTTTAAAAAAGGGAACTTTTTTCTTCAAACTAGGAATTTTAGGGTTCAACTATGAGCCCTACTAGCAGAAAAAATTCTCACATTAGAGAATTTTAATTAGCATCACAATCGATGAAGATGGAACTAATAAGATATCAAAAGCAGAATTGTTAGTATCGAAAAAAAGAAGCATAATTATTCTGAAAAATTAAAACACTATCAGTGTCTGAACTAATTTACAACCAGAGAAAGTTATGATTGTAGAAACAGATCGCAACAAACCGTATGATATTAGGAAGCCTCTAGCTGTCATCTCATATCCGATGTTTCTGTACCTAAAGACGTTCTCTAACTAAACCATCACACAGAGAAGTCACATCGTAGAAGGTGGTGGCAGAAGAGATCAAACTAGAAAACTCTAAAGCGTTAAGATGTTTTACCTCAATGAAGGTTATGAATTCACGATACAAATGGCTCGTCAATACAAAAGAGCAAGTTATCTTTGCTATACAATATTATCTTTAGTTCTACTAAAACACATTTTCCATTGAATATTTACATTTCTGTTGTTTAAAATACTAACTCAATGAATTACTTAAATTGATTCCAATTTCATTCAGATTAGTAATACTAAAACTAAGGTTCTTTACTTAACCTGATTTGATTGAGTTCGTGTCAGAAACTAAGAGAAAAACTATGAATATATTTGTTAAACTGGTGTATAGTTAAAAACATAATTCTTTAACAATAACAACAAAACAAACTTCTTTAAATACAGGGTGAGGCAAAAATTACTACACAGTTGTTTCATTTCTAACTATTACTCTGAAATAAACAATAAATTGGCTTCAGTTGTTTTTGTGATAGTTTATCTAATACCAACCGTATAATAAAAATGTAAAGAAGTTTTTTTCCCCCACCCTGAACATTGTTTGCTAGAACTCTCTCACCTGGTGCAAGTTTTGTTCAAAATCTGTGCTAATTTCCCGCAGTACTAATCCCGTTTCCTGTATCCACTGGTTTAAAGGTAAGTTTACAGAGTGGGTCCGGTGACGTACCGCAAAACGAGATGATGGTGTCTGAACTACATCTGGGAGAGGTCGGTTAGAGGAGGTACTGTGAGGCAATAGTGACGAATGACTATCTTGATTTGGAGAAACTGGATCATCTGTAACGCCATTCAAAGAGTTAATGAAGCTATATTTTATGTTTAATAGCAAACCATCTAAAATATTAACTACATATTCTTAAAGAAACTAGTTTATAGTCTACAATTTCAGGAGAGAAGTCATAAACTCATAAGATACTAACGAATCCTTAACTGCGTTTACCTTACCTCTCCTTACAGTGTCACAGTATCAAGATATCATGAATTTATATTATAACAAAATATGACCAGCTATACTAAATACAGGGTGGTCGAAACGTTAGTTGCGCCAGAGCAAAATATACTAATTCGTTTTCATTTTGATTTTTTAAAGGGTATATATGGTAATTATAGAACATGGTTTACAGAAAAACAAAGAACCATGCTTGTGGCCACTTAAAAACAAAGCACACAGACTGATAAAAGGACGACTTTTGTGGTCAGTCACAGCAAGGCACACAGACTGATAAAAGGACGACTTTTGTGGTCAGTTACAGCAAGGCACACATACTGACAAAGAACGACTTTTGTGGTCAGTTAACAGCAAGGCACACATACTGACAAAGAACGACTTTTGTGGTCAGTGAACAGCACGACACACAGACTGACAAAGAACGACTTTTGTGGTCAGTTAACAGCACGACACACAGACTGACAAAGAACGACTTTTGTGGTCAGTTAACAGCACGACACACAGACTGACAAAGAAATGTTATACACAGAGAAAATATTTCAGTCCCAGACAGTTAATTTTGGACCACCCTGTAGATTATTGTTATGCGTTAGCTAGGTAGAATATTGTGGAAGAGTTGTAATTGAACACAGACTGTTCTACACAGCTGAGAATGAAATGTGTTAAAGTAAAGAATTCACTAGTCCCACAGTTTCAACTTGAAAGTTGGCCTTATGCCAATTTAACCAGGCTTAGCCTATTTTGAAACTAGAAACTTAATCTTTTTTCTTTGTTAAATCTACGATTTATTTACTTTAATCGTATTTAAGCTACACTCTTTAATCAATACACAATTATTCTTGGAGAAAATGCAGTATTTTTGCCTTTTTTTTCCTGTTTATAATGAAAATTATTGAACCATTTGAATAAAAACGGCCATTAAATTTATTGATGAATAAAGCAAACGTGTTCAGAAACTACTTCAATTCTGAAATCAGTAGAAGATAAGTAGTGAGCTGACGTGTCATCAATGATAAACATATGATTTTATTCCCATTACTGCAATATACAGGGATTTCTACACCCTAATTTTATCAATATTATTTTCAGATATTAACTGTTATCACTGGTGAAACATCAGGTTTTCGTTTAATGATTATTGTACACACATACGCACACACTTTTCAACCACCTTATTACATCAGAAGTGTGTCTAAGTATTAGTTGTGTTAAAAAACAAACAACAAAGACAAAACCCTCGCTACAAACACGTATATTTAAGGGACTGATCATTACTCAGCTGTTTATCTTGGGCACTGAATGAGAGATAATATGGAACGAAAACACTGAATCTAAGGAATGAAAACATGCCTTACAGCTGTGACATTGTTTTTTAACATACGTTTTCAAAGATCTGTGCTTTACTGCTGGTTTTAAGTAAGCGGAAGAATCAATTTCCTATAACTGATTATCATATTTATTGAAACTTGAAATTATAAACATTTTAATTTATGTTAATTTCAATTATATCTTAATTGAATAATAATAACTCATGAAGCAGTTTATCACATTGCGTTGAACCGATGTGGTTTATTTTTAGTTAAGCGCAAAGCTACACAATGGGCTATCTACGCTGTGCTCAGCACAGGTATCGAAACCCAGTTTTTAGCATTGTATTGTTTCAGATTTGCCGCTATTCTACTGGGAGGCTGAATCTATTTGGAAAAGAGAAACGTTAAGGTACGTTTTTGTTACAAACGAAAATCTCAGAAATTCTGGAGGAAAGGTGGTTTCAAAAATATTAAAAAGTGACATCAGAATATTTACTACTAACTTATCTGGAATTGTTCGTTATTTAGCCTTAGAACTCTATATAAATGTTACTTTTGGTCTTTTTGTTTTCAGACGACAAAAATCTGGATCACTGTAGATATATACTTGTCATTTCAACCTTGTGCGTAGTTAACGTTTTTCAAAAGTTAGCTTGTACGATTTGGTTTTTTGGATTTAAACAGATATGTGTAAAAATAATGAGTAAACTTACTTGAAGATTCAGAATAAATAATTCAAATTAAAACACCATTTATTTCCCCTATTCCGCGCTTTATTCTATTTTAATGTTACATGCAGGACGTTGTGATGCAGTTGAATTTGTGTTTGAACATTATATATATATATATATATATATATAT